TGGCTCCTTCCCCAATCAAACATCCTCCAGATATATTTTTAGTTCTAGGAGTTCTGGAAAATGCCGCTCCAGCATTTCTGGGAAATGTCAGATGGGGAAGGTTGTTCTGTTTTATCCTCCCCCTTCTGTCATTTTTCCCCATACAGTTTTGAGAGCATAGGGCTTTTTTTTTTTTTTTAAGTCAAATCATTGTGTCAAAAGTACAGGAAGCTTCACACATTGATTGTATTGCTACTTCATTTGAAGAAGACAAAATTCACATGGTCCTAATCTAACGGGATGAGACTGAAGAACTCTCAGGGCGAGGAACCATGAGCCGCTCAGCTGTCCCAGCAGGGGTTAGATCTATTTCCAGAGTTTTAGACTGGAGATTTTCCCAGCTATTTTCATGCAATGAAAATTCCCAGCCATTTTCATGCAATACTGTAGGTGCGCTATCAAAGAGCGATGGTCCAGTAAGATTCTTTGCTTTAAGAACAGGGGGTTGTTAATAGCATACCTGTTTGGAAAATGTTCAAAGTCTGCTATGTTTGCAAAAGACTTTATGTATTTATATTTATTTATTTATTTATAAGTCAAATTTATACGCCGACCATCTCATTATATCAAGCGACCTTAGGCAGCTCTAGACTTCAGATGAAGAGGTGTGGACTTCAGTCTGAAAGTCACTGAGGAAGAGTGGCATATCCAGATTACCTTCAGTTTAGGAGACTGAGAACAAGTAAGTGTTGCTGGTAATGATGCTCAGGACAGTTTGGTGTTATAAATTCTGCTTTCATTATATTCTTATGACACTAAAATGTGATTCTCCCTAACTCACTCAGTCACCTCACATCTTGGTTCATAAAACTTCACATGAAACTAAAAAGTAAAATGGTACAGAGGGGAGAGAGATGCAGAGGGTGTGTATGCAAGGCCCAGCATTTTTAAGCAATCTCCTTAATGTCGTTTGAGGCCACGCTGAGCTAGTGTTTCAATATCGAAATAGCCCATTCAGATAAGCCAAGTGATTGGTCATCTCTCACCTGGCAATCCAGGTGCACCTGGCTGTCCAACTAATCCTGGGAGCCCTGCGTCACCTGGGAGACCTGGATAACCCTTCTGCCCAGCTGGACCAGGATTACCTTCAAGGAAAGAAAGGCAGAATGAGTAGTCTTCATACTTAGGTATGACTTAGCCAAACAGAAACATGAAGCAAAAAGTAGGTGCCATTGAGTTCCAACATCTTCCCATTGATACTGAGAGCCATTGGGCATCTGATGGTGCCTGGTTGGGCAACGCCCCACCCAGACATTCCCCAATAAGGGTTTAATCATGCAGTGCCATGCATGTATCTCCAAAATGAATGTAATATCCACTGAAGAGCACAGAAAAGTAACCATAAAGTAGATAATGGTGAAATAGTTCTTTTTTTAATGATGCGTTTTAACTGATTTGCCTTTATATTTAATTACACATTTGTATTTTATTTTGTATTTCATTTCTAGCTGACTTGAATGCTACCTGTGGTGAAAAGGATGTAAATCCCACAAATACAGAGTTTTCAGGACTTCGCTGAAATAAACCAGATTTTGTTCACTGCAGGAATGTCAGACAGTGGAGTACAGATTAATATTCAATGACGTGCATCACTTTTTCCAAATTCTTGGAAATGTATGGGTGATAAAAATTGTCTAGCTATCTCTACCAGTTTTTTCTAAGAACAAATGTTTTTAAGGCTTTTAAGAGGAGGATCTACCCTAAGAAACCCAGATGGAAGCGAAGCGAAGGGAAGGGAAGGGAAGGGAGGGGAAGGGAAGGGAAGGGAAGGGAGGGGAAGGGAAGGGAAGGGAAGGGAGGGGAAGGGAAGGGAAGGGAAGGGAGGGGAAGGGAAGGGAAGGGAAGGGAGGGGAAGGGAAGGGAAGGGAAGGGAGGGGAAGGGAAGGGAAGGGAAGGGAGGGGAAGGGAAGGGAAGGGAAGGGAGGGGAAGGGAAGGGAAGGGAAGGGAGGGGAAGGGAAGGGAAGGGAAGGGAGGGGAAGGGAAGGGAAGGGAAGGGAAGGGAAGGGAAGGGAAGGGAAGGGAAGGGAAGATACAGCAGGAGGAGGGAAAAGCCAATACTATAGGAAGCATATGAATTAATGGAAGTTCTCAGACTGAAAAAAAGCCCAACCTGTTGACCCTTATCATGCTGGAAGGAACACAGAGGGAAACTTTTCTTACCTTTCTCTCCAGGTTCCCCCTTTTCTCCTTTGGAACCCAGTCGGTCAGTATCAATTTTTCCGGGAGCTCCTGGCAAGCCAGGTTCTCCTTTGCTGCCTTTTTGTCCGGCAGATCCGGATTGACCTGGTTGTCCTGGTAAACCATCATTGCCTAAGCAGTATCCAAAATACACAGTGTTTCTCATTAATTTGGAGGACACTGCCAATATTCTGTAAACCCCAGTAAAACAAGCAGAAATCCACATTGGCATCCTTCACATTACCAAGCAACAGACTGACACCAAATAGTCAACAGCTGTAACAAATAAAGCATTTTTCATCAGGGTGGCATTCCTCTAATCTCATCCCGTTCTTGTCCATTTCATCCCCATGCCAACCAGATAGCTTTGGTTACAGTGAGCACTAATTGGACCACCTTCTCCATCATGGCTAGATGGACATTTCAACTTTGTTCTGCTCTGGTTCTAGCTCAACATTTTGATACAAAAGACCTTTCCATCATAGCTTGTTATTGCTGATTACAAGTTTAGAACTATATAATATCATTAATTAAGAGTGTAGAGAAACTTTTAGGGTGTATGCACATTTGGAATTTTGAGACCATCTTGTGGACTTGCTCACAAACTGGTTACCCTGGATTATAATCAGCCAGAAGGCTGTTTCGAAGATGCCCTCTCCTGGGTTTCTGCCACTCCAGCATATCTTTATTTCTGTTGAGTTTGGAAGTGGCCACAAATCATTACACTGCACCGTCCCACCATGTTTATTTTCAAAAAGAATATCTACAGGGCCTGTTAATGCAGCATTCTTGGAAATAATGTTGATGTGATGGAAGTGAAGCTTTGTTTTGCAGTATGCTAGCTTCCCATTATTCTCTTTTAAATGAAAAGTATATAAAAATATGCATGGTGGGTCTAGGAACCCAATGAATGCCAAGAGAAGCACCCATTGGCAACACCTTGTCTTAAAAAACCTGCAGGATGTGTCTGAAATCAGGAGTTCTCCTCCTCCATCTATATGCGATAAACAAAAAGTAGACATGTTACTTTCACAGTCTTCAAAGTGTTAATTCTAAATTCCAGTGATGGAAAACAAGGGATATCTTACCTTTAGGGCCAGGGAAGCCATTTCTGCCAGGAGATCCAGGACCACCTTGGGGACCAGGTGCACCCATTACTCCCATATCGCCTTTGCTTCCTGGGTGCACAGAAACAGCTCTCTTATTGGAGCTATAAAAGAACCTCCCTAACTTTCCAAAACTTTTCACCTCCATCCCTTTTAATCAGGATGGGAATTTTTGACCACAGTAAGGTAATTGGCTAATCTCTAATCCAATGCCCTCTAGCTGTACTAAAGTAATTCTCACCCTCCTGTTTAATAATCTGTGGGAGCCACCTAGGAGCACTGTGAGCGCATGTTGCTGACTCTGCGGTAGAGATCACAAAGGATTTAACTGTCTGTAACAAGATGGCGCCTGTCTTGCTTCAATGGGAGCAGTGTAACTGAATATAACTGGAAGCTTATGATTCTCTGAGGGTTTCCAGACTGTAGGAAGCCATGAAATGTTCTCAGTTCATCACCTTTGAAATGAGTCAACATTTTGATTGTTGAAGGACATCTACCTACTGTTTTCCATTCCACCAGACATCCCTTTATAAATTTTAGCTCCTGTGCAATTGTCAGACAGGACTGTAAAAAGAAAGCTCCTCCTATCTACACAAGCCACTAGGTACTCAACAGCACAACGTTACCTGGTACTCCTGGAATTCCATCTCGTCCTGGGGAACCGGGGGAACCTGGTGCACCTGGAAGACCAGGTGGCCCGGGAAATCCTGAGTTGCCTCTTTCACCTGGAGGACCAGGAGCATCATATCCTGGTTGACCAGGATCTCCTTTCTCACCAGGGGTGCCCTTCAATCCTAGGAGAAGTTGTCAGAATGCAATTCTTTAATAACAGCACTTCCTAAAGCAGTTGCTAGATCACCCTTCCCTCACCTTCATGCTGTGCAGGTATTTAGGTTTTAACTCCCAGAATTCCTCAGCAAGCATGACTATTGCTGAGAATTCTGGGAATTGATGTCCAAACCTTAGGCATACACCAGGTTGGGAACTTGGCCTGCATAAGAAAAAGAAATTTGGACAGTGGCTGCACATTGTGCCATAAATAATTCTGGTTTTAAGATTACCCTTCTTAGCCTCAATCCAACATAGCTTGCAGCTCAGCAGATTGGTAAAAACCAGGTATTTGACCGAACTCTTGGAATCTAGTTTTGGAAATATGAAATACCCTGAAATCAATGTAAACTTGCCCCAGTGAACAGACATTATTTAGAAGTGATCAATAGATCACTTCTTGTTCTTTTGTAGAAATTGGGGGAGCAATTTTTATTCTCTGAGGCATTTTAACTGCATTATTAGTAGGGTGAAAATGTCAGTAAAAATAACTGGAAATTCACTTTTCTCTCCACAGATTCTGTATTCCAGCTGTGCTGTTCATCTGTTGATTTGAACCAAGTTTTCGTTTTACATAAACAAGACAATACTCGTCTTATTGTTTTGATTGAATCTGCTACCTTCCCGGGGACAAGTACTAGGAAGAATATTATAAATGCCGTAAATAAATAAATATTTTTTAAAACAAGGTACTATGAAGCAAACTGTAGTTACTCACTAGGTCCTTGGAAACGTGCCACCTACTCTTTTACAGAATTCAACTAAACTCTGCATGTTTTGAGAAAGGACAGTGAAGATTATCCTTTGACATTAGGGCACATGCAGCCAAAAAATCGACGCTGCCTCCCCCATTGTCTCTTGGTCTAACTTTTAGAACCAAATATTACTATTAAGTAAACAAAGTCCTACAGAGGAATTGGTAATATACGTCCATTCAGACTAGAAGGGTACACCAAGTTTAAGTTTAGAAATATTTTGACCTTCAGAATCCCAGTTCTGGGCTCAAAAGGGGTTCTTCTCATCTTATCAGAAGCATTCTGACACACAGGCTACCAGATGTCTTTCAAGCTGAAACTGTTTGGAATTTGAAACTCTTGTGTTTCAAGAGTTTCAAAATGGAGCAATTCAAGGTTGAAATATTTGGAGTTGGCCCATGGCTTTGCACATTACAATGTTGGACCAGAATTCTTACCAGCTTGGCCAACCATCAGACATCATGCTGCAGAAGGATAGACTGAGTAAATGCACTTCTAAAGATAGGAGTCCAGACTGTCCCCCTCCAAAAAGAAATGTAAAATGACTAAAATGTCCAGTTGCTAAGGACTCTCTGTGATTCTACTTCCAATTAAAAAAAGAAAACAACTTTGTGTATCCTATGAGCCAGTATTTCTCAACCTTGCTGACTCTGGCTGAGGAACATTGGGAGTTGAAGTCCACCCATCTTAAACTCAGCAAGGTTGAGAAACATTATGAGCTTACCTAGGGCTCATGAACAGCTTAACTTCTGAAAATGCTTACTTGTTTCTTGGACTTTACCATCCTTTTACTGTCAGCTGATGATTCATACAAAGCAGTGCTTTTCAACCTTTTAAAACCCACACCCCCTTTTGAGAAACAAAAATCTCGCATCCCCCTTCAAACCAGCCACCTCCAATAATTTCCTTCAAAAACCTAAAATGATCAAAACCCTGAGACTAAAAACAGAGCAAACCAATTTGTAACTTTAGTAAACACTATTTATTTAAAATTCCAAATTGGCTGTTGCTCTTCAAAAGGATATCCCTTTTGATAAAGTCCCTACTTGTGGACTTTAGCTTCTCAATTTTTCTCCTTCCTCTCCCTCCCTGCCTTTTGGAAGAAGAAAAGACCTTTTCAGACTCCACACTCTCCTGAGATCTTGATATCCTCCC